GCTCAGATAAAGGACAGACTAGAATGTAGTTAAACAAACACAATTTCTGGGAGCTCAGCACAGGGCTGGTGGCAGTAGTTTGCTCGTTATACTGCGCCAGAAGGATCGTATGTCTTTGTTAAGTAAGACCTGAAAGCTTTGAACTAACCCCCAAGTAATTTTTTTTTTTTTTTTTTTTTTTTGAGGCCGGGAGTCTCACTCTGTCATTCCAAGTTTGTTGAGTCGCAGTGGCATGATCGGTTGGCTCACTGCAACTTCTGCCTCTGGGCTTAAAAGCGAGGTCTCCTGCCTCAACCTCTTCCGGTAGCTGGGATTACAGGTTGTGTACAACCATGCCAGGCTAATTTTTGTATTTTCAGTAGAGACAGGGTTTCACCATGTTGGCCCAGGCTGGTCTCGAACTCCTGACCTAGTGATCCACCTGCCTCAGCCTCCCAAAGTGCTCAGATTACAGGTGTGGAGCCACCACGCCCGGCACAAGCAAATTTTAACCACATACCACCAATAATGTCAACATTCTAAAGAAATACCACAGTATCAAGCACCTAATGATGGTAGAATTCATGCGGGTCTGCATACAAGAAAATAATTACCAGATATGTAAAGAGGTAGAAAAAATAGTAACCAATAACCAAAAGGATAATCAAGCAGTATCAAATAGATCTAAAACATAGGAAGATGGAATTACAGACAAGAACCTTAAGCCAGCTAACATAAATATTTATAAATATTCTTAAGGAAGTAAAAGGCAGCCAGAGATTACGATGCCGTAATCTCAAGCACTTGGGAGGTCAAGGTGGGAGGATTGCCTTGAGCCAGGAGTTTGAGACCAGATCTGGGCAACATATGAGACCTCCCAGTTTCTAACCTAAAAAATTTATAATATTATGTCTGCCACTAGTGACATGTGCCTGTTTTATTCTCTCTTATGTCTTTTTCTATTTCTTTGGAGACTGAGTGGGTGAGGATCACTTGAGCCAGGAGGTTGAGGCTGTAGTGAGCCCTGAACACACCACTACACCCCAGCCTGGGTGACAGAGTGAGCCCTTGTGTCAAAAAGAAAAAAAATATATATATATAAAAAATATATAGTTTTATGTATATAAATATATATTTTATATATATATAGAAGAAAACATAAACATAATAAGAGAAACACAATACAAAAAGATATAAATGGAACTTCTAGAGATTAAAAATATAATATCTGATACAAAAAAATAGACTGGGTGGGATTAACTGTGAACTTGAAGATACAGCAATATAAACCATCCAAAATGCAGCACAGAGAGGAAAAGGAAAATGAATCAAACCTCAACAACTGGCCGGGCACAGCGGCTCATGCCTATAATCCCAGCAATTTGGGAGGCCAAGGTGAGTGGGTCGTTTGAACCCAGGAATTTGAGACCAGCCTGGACTACATAGGAGAACTTGTCTCTTATTTTTTAAAAGAAAAAAAAATTTAAAACGTAAAAAATAAAACAATAAAAATAAAAACAAATCTTAACAACCTGCAGGACAATAGCAAGCAGTCCAACATACATGTCCATAAGATGGAAAGGAAAAATACTTTAACAGGCCCAGTGTGGTGGCTCACGCCTGTAATCCCAGCACTATGGGAGGCAGAGGCAGGTGGATCACCTGAGGTCAGGAGTTCAAGACTAGCCTGGCCAACGTGGCAAAACTCCGTGTCTACTAAAAATACAAAAATTAGCTGGGCGTGGTGGTGGGAGCCTGTAGTCCCAGCTACTCTGGAGGCTGAAGCAAGAGAATCGCTTGAACCCGGTAGGCGGAGCTTGCAGTGAGCCAAGATCGCGCCACTACACTCCAGCCTGGGTGACAGGGCGAGACTCTGTCTCAAAAAAAACCAACAACAACAAAAGAAAAACAAAAAGTAGATTTCAGAGCAAGAAATATTTGCAGGGATAAAAATGATAATTTCTTTTTTTTTTAAATAGTTTAATATATTTTAACAGCAAACTTACAGGAACAGCACAGAAGACAGACAACATTAAACACATGTGCTTGCATGTAGGACAACTCAGAAAAGCATAGTGAATGGATAGAATCTCCTATATGATAAAAATGCTACCAACACTATTTACTTGCTGTCAATAAGAAATTTACTTGTTTTAAAAAAAATCCAAATGCTGGCATTGTCCAGAAAAATGTAACAGGTTTATTTACAATTATTATAAAGTTGAACTGCTGAAACTTGTTCACTGAAACATTTTAACTTGCATTCATGCTTTACATCCTCTCATTTATACTAAAAATTCACACACAAGCGAAAATGGAAAAACTGCCCCAATACCTGATTTCTGTCTCCTATTTTTGCACTAGTAATTCATATATACTTAGGTACCTTTTGACCTTATGGGAAAAAAAAAAAACTAACGTTCAGAACTACCAATAACAGGAAGAAGATTTTTTTGTTTTTGGAATGAAATGTTTCCCATCATAGTGGATTCTTAAGCACGTTCTCTACGTGTGCGGAGTGCTAGCTGGATGTCTTTTGGCCTAATTGTTACACGTTTGGCATGGATAGCACACAGGTTGGTGTCTTCAAAAAGGCCAAGAAGATAGGCCTCACTTGCCCCCTGCAAAGCACCAATAGCTGCGCTCTTGAAGCGCAGATCTGTGTTAAAGTCCTGAGCAATTTCTCTCACCAGCCGCGGAAAGGGAAGTTTGCGAATTAGTTCAGTGGACTTCTGATAACGCCTAATTTCACGGAGTGCCACAGTAACAGGCCTATAACGATGAGGTTTCTTCACTCCTCCAGTAGAGGGCGCAGTCTTGCGAGCGGCTTTTATAGCCAGTTGCTTCCTGGGTGCTTTACCACCGGCCAATTTACTGGCAGTTGGCTTTGTACATGCCAAGGTATAGAGATTTCCTTACTTATTCCCTTCTCCTTCGACTGGAGCTCGGCGAGGGAGAGGCGGCGTTGGCGTTGGTGGCGGGGCGGCGATGGCGACTGCGAACACAACTCGATAATTTCTTTTTTCTTTTTTGAGACAATGTCTCGCCCTGTCGCAGGCTGGAGTGCAGTGGCGCGATCTCGGCTCACTGCAACCCCTGCCTCCGCCTCCCAGGTTCAAGCGAGTCTCCTGCCTCAGCCTCCCAGGTAGCTGGGACTACAGGCGCTCACCACCACGCCCAGCTAATTTTTTTTTTGTAGGAGAGACAGGGTTTCACCGTGTTGGCCAGGATGGTCTCGATCTTTTGACCTCGTGATCCGCCCGCCTCAGCCTCTGAAAGTGCTGGGATTACAGGCGTGAGCCACCGTGCCTGGCCTCGATAATTTCTTAATAGTAAAGAGGTCAGGGATGTGCTCAGAGCAGGGGGCCTGAGGAATGGTTCCTCTGTTTACAACACACCCAACAGGAATCGGATCATTGTGACGAGAGGTACTAAAAACTTGTGGCCTTCCTATGAACAAATGCCCTACATGTGAAGGGAAAGAATAATAATAAAATAATAATAACGTCAATTCATCAGATAATGTGACAGTTTTAAATTGTATACATCTAACAACAGAGCTCCAAAATACACGAAAGCAAAAACTGAAAGAGTTGAGAGATAGGCAAAACCAACTCAATTAGATTTTCCAACATCTCAATCACTGATAGATCAAGTAGAAAGAAAATCAGTGAGGATTTAGAAAACTTGAATAACACTATAAAACACCTTGACCTAATTGACATTTATAGACATTTCATCCAACAACAGCAGAATACATATGCTTTTCAAGTCCCCTCAGGACATTTACCAAGAAAACCTGTATTCCAAGTCATAAAACAAGTCTGGATAAAAGATTGAAATTCCACAATGTTTTCTAATAGCAACAGAATTAACTTAGAAACCAAGAACAGAAAGATAACTGGAAATTCTCTAAAAATGCCATTTATAATAGCATAAAAAATATTGAACACTTAGGGATAAATTTGGGAAAAGATATCAAATTAAAGAAGATCCAAGTAAATAGAAAGATGTGCCATTTGCATGGATTGCCGGACTCAATATTGTTGCATGTCAATTCCTCCACACATTGATTTAGTCATGCAATGCCATTCCAATCAAAATCTCAGTAAGTTTTCTTGTGAAAATTGACAAGCTGATTCTAAAATGTATGTGGAGATTTTTTAAAAGGCCAAATAATTTTTAAAATAAAAAATAAAGTTGGAGAAATACTACTACCTAATTTGATTACCAATATAAATCTACAGAAACTAAGACAATGTTGTTTTGGCATAAAGATAACCATTTAGATCAATGGAACAAAAAGAGAGTTCAGAAATAGACTCACACATACATAGTCAACAGATTTTTTTTATTTTTATTTTTTATTTTTTTGAGATGGGGTCTCACTCTGTCACCCAGGCCAGAGTGCAGTGGGGTGATCTCGGCTCACTGCAGCCTACACCTCCCCGACTCAAGGGATCCTCCCACCTCAGCCTCCTGAGCAGCTGGGATGCGGGTACCCCCCACCACATCCCGCTAATTTTGTGTATTTTTGGTGCAGACAGGGTTTCACCGTGTTGCCCGGGCTGGTCTCAAACTCCTGAGGTCAAACAATCCTTTCGCCTCGGCCTCCTTTGGCCTTGGCCTCCCAAAGTGCTGAGATTATAGGTGTGAGCCACTGCACCCAGCCATCAATTGATATTTGACAAAGGTCCCAAGACAATAAAATGGGGAATGAATAATCTCTTCAACAAAAAGTGCTTGAACAATTGAATAGCAGTGTATTGTTAAACAATTAAAAACACTTACCTCTTAACTTACAGAATATACAAAAATTAACTCAAAATGGATCATAGGAGGGTTGGGCATGGTGGCTCACGCTTGTAATCCCAGCACTTTGGGAGGCCGAGGCAGGTGGATCACCTGAGGTTGGGAGTTCGAGATCAGCCTGACCAACACGGAGAAACCCCTTCTCTCCTAAAAATATAAAATTAGCTAGGCATGGTGGCACATGCCTGTAATTCCAGCTACTTGGGAGGCTGAAGCAGGAGAATCTCTTGAACCTGGGAGGCGGAGGTTGCAGTCAGCCGAGATCATGCCATTGCATTCCGGCCTGAGCAACAAGAGTGAAACTCCGTCTCAAAAAAAAAAAAAAAAAAAAAAAAAAAAAAAGTCATAGGCTTAAATGAAAGTTATCAAACTCAGATGTTTGTTGCCAAGAAGCCTCCACTCTCTCCACAGGGCTGCTCGGGTGTCCTCACATCATGGCAGCTGGCTTTAGTGACCCAACAGAGACAGCAAGAAGAAAGGTGCAATGCCTTGTATGACCTCACTTGGAAAGTGACACACTGTCACATCTGCCATATTCTATTTGTTAGAAAGGTCACTAAATCCAAATTTCTCTCTAATGGGGAGAAATTAAGCTCTATATCTTGAAGAAGATACTTGGAAGAGTATCAAGGAATTTGTGGATATATTTTTAAACCACCATCTGGCCACAAATTATTTGTAATTTTCTACACAATATATATTCACTCCTTTCCTAAGGGTCCCAAAAGTCTCTTCTTATTTCAGTATCAGTTCAAAATCCAGTCACAGCATATAAACCAGGTCCAGAGGCAGACAATGCTTTTCAGGTGTATTTCCTTAAAGACAGCTTCTCTCAATCTGAACACCTGTGAACTGGAGCTAAATTATCTTCCCCAACATACACAGACACCCACACACACCACACAATGGTGGGATGGGCATACGATAAACACTATAAACACTCCTGTGCAAAAAGGGGAAAAATAGGACTGGTCCATAGTGGTTCTGAGACCCAGCTAGGCAAAGTTTGGAGACTCTTTTATTAGGATTCATTCCTACTCATCCCCATGACTCTTGGTCCCTACCTTGGAGCTCTTGTTTCTGCTAAGTCATCCTTCCTTTTCCATGAGAGAGAACTCATGTTTTTCAGCTGTGGAGTTTTCTGTCTGATTACAGCAGGTGGAATTTTGGGAATTCAAAAGTCTCTTCATTCATGTAGTCTTTGTCCCTTTCATTCCAAGCTGTTTCTGCCAATATGGTTCTAAAATGTTGTGGGTCTTCTGTGAATCTTTCTGTGGTTCATTCCATAAGTCTAAGATAGCAGCCACAAACCTCTCTGCAATAAGGCCTTCTCAATATTGGGCTTCGGCTGAGGTGCAGTGCTCTTAAGCTTTTGAAAAGCGCCGCTGTTTAATGGAGAGTATCTAGAAAGCATACCCTTAAAATCTTTAGAGGGCCTTTTGTCTTACTGAATGGTACTCTGAGGCTCTACCTTGGATCATTGTGACACAGCATTTTACTTTGTCTTTAGATCATGTTTTCCCAGTAGTGCCCTAGATTTGATCTTTGCTCAGAATTCACTTCTTGGCCAGGCACGGTGGCTCATGCCTATAACCCCAGAGCCTCAGGAGGCCAAGGCAGGAGGATTGCTTCAGTCCAGGAGTTTGAGGCTACAGTGAGTCATGATCATTCCCCTGCACTCCAGCCTGGACCTCAGAGCGATGCCCTGTCTCTAAAAAAACAAAAACAAAAACAAAACCCCAAAAACCGACTCTATCTCTTACATTTAGCCAGTTAGAGAGGCTGAAAATTTTCAAACCCCTCATATTCTGGTTCCTTCGTGTCCTTCATGTTGAATAGTTCTTGACTTATCTCTCTCCTCTTGCATTTTACTATGAACGATAAGAAGAAACCAGGAGACGCTTTCAACAGGTTGCCTGGAAATCTTTTCGCTAGATCATGCGGTTCATTTGGTACATTTTTACTTTCTACATTACCCCAGGTGGCAGTGTTGCTACACTTTTTGCTGCTCTATCATAATGACCCTTTTCCTCCAATTGACAGCAAGATTTTCCTCACTTTCCTCCTTTGTGCTCTCACTTACAATCTCCTCAAGGGCCCTGAGGCTTCTTCAAGGTGTTCAGACTTTTCACTAACACTTTCCTCCAAGGCTCCCCAATTCCAAAGCCACTTTCACATTTTAGGTTTTTGTTATGGCAGTGCCCCCCCTTCTAGGTAACAAAATCTGTATTAGTTACTTATCACAGTGTAACAAATTACCTGAAAACTTAGCAGCTTTAAAAGACAGACGTTGATTATCTCACTCTTTTCTTTTTGTAGACAAAGTTTTGCTTTGTCACCCAGGCTGGAGTGCAGTGGTGTGATCCCGGCTCGCTCACCGCAACCTCTGCCTCCTGGGTTCAAATGATTCTCCTGCCTCAGCCTCCTGAGTAGCTGGGATTACAGGCATGCACCATGATGCCTTGCTAATTTCTTTTTTGTATTTTTAGTAGAAACGGGGTTTCACCATGTTGGTCAGGCTTGTTTCGAACTCCTGATCTCAAGTGATCTACCCACCTGGGCCTCCCAAAGTGCTGGGATTACAGGTGTAAGCCACCACGCATGGCCTCTACTTCTTTAAAAAAATTTTTTTTTAGAAATGGGGTCTAGCTATGTTGTCCAGGTTGGAGTGCAGTGGCTATTCACAGGCATGATCATAGTGCACTGTAGCTTCAAACTCCTGGGCTCAGGTGATCCTCCCACTTCAACCTCCCAAGTGGCTGGACTATAGGCTTGTGCCATCAAGCCTGGCTAAGCTCTACTTCTTGAAGGGAGGAGTATCAGAGAATTTGTGAACATATGAACTTGTGAATCACTGTGAGTTTTCTTGGAGCATTTGACTAAAGAGAGTTAAAGGAAAAAGAAGTTATTTGCAGCTTTGATTATATGATTAAAAATAGTTTATCTAGATTCAGGACAAGGCCAGTCAACCAGAGTAGTCATGACACAGAAACAGTTTGACTTTTTGAAATTTATTTATTTTTATTTTTATTTTTGAGACAGAGTCTCTCTCTGTTGCCCAGGCTGGAGTGCAATGGTGCAATCTCAGCTCACTGCAACCTCTACCCCCGGGGTTCAAGCGAGTCTCCTGCCTCAGTTTCCTGAGTAGCTGGAATTACAGGTGCACGCCACCACGCCTGGCTAATTTTTGTATTTGTAGTAGAGACAGGGTTTCACCATGTTGGCCAGGCTGGTCTTGAATTCCTGACCTCAAGTGATCCGCCTACCTCGGCCTCCTAAAGTGCTGGGATTACAGGCGTGAGACACCATGGCCAGCCTGACTGAAATTTAGAAGAAAGTTTGGAAAATAAAACAAATTCAAGTCAGATTGTTGCAATTTTTGTATGTATCTCTCCCTTTTAACTTAAAATTGCATTTGAAATTTGCACATTGTACCATCATGTCAAATGCTCAAAACTAACAATGATATCAGTATAACATGGATACGTCTCTTTTCATGCTGTTTTGGCTACACTGACTCTAGACTCTAGAAAACATTATATACTTGATACTAGATCTTCCTCTTTTGATCTGAGAGACAAAAATAGATACCCCTTTATCAGGTA